TGTTCTAGGGCTATCAGAGTTTGGTTGGTCTGGGGGTAGTGAGTGAGTCGTGCTAGTTCTTCTAAGGTTTTATTCCTGTCAGTTGTTGGGCCTATGCAGACAGGAGATTGGGGTCCATTCAATGATCTTTTTTCATCTATAACCATGCCTAGATTCTCCAAGGTTCACAAGTTATTCATTCATCAATCTGAGTTGACATTTCTTACTGGGATTGTAGATGTCCATGTTTACTGTAGTCAGCTCCTATCTGCACATTGCCAAAGTGAAGGAGTCTCACCACTATTGGCATTTGTTGTGCACAAGAGTCAGGTACTTTCGTTCCAGGTTTTTAACCTTTGGACTTGCATCAGCTTCACATGGGTTCTGCCATATTGTACAAATTTTCTCGTTATTTCCATTCCATTGCACGGTGCACACTACTCCATGGATGACTGGTTTCTGCTGGCACTATCTCATCAATTGTCAGAGCATCACATCCTGATTCTACTTTCAGAAACAACCAAGGCAGGCTTCATTTTCAGGGCTGAAAAGCTATCCTTGCTACAATTCTATATGTCATCAGTCTGGGTAATTTATATTTTTCATCTCATCTGTCAGTTGGGCTCAGTTGAATCCCATCCAGCTCAATGCTATGAAATAAAATGTCAGACTCTTACTCACCTCTCCTTCTCCCACAGCACAGGCGGTTTTTTCTCTTCTAGGAATGTGGACATCACTCGAATTCCTTATGCCTTTGGGACGAGAGCACAAGAGATCATTTTAATGATCTTTATGCGACCAATTGATCATAAACATCAATTCATTGGTTCCCCAGTTTCCTTAGTTGGGATCATTCTTTGATCCTGAGGGGTTGTTAAGTTGGGACACTACTATGATATGGGTTCCTTTGCCGCCACTTTGTCCAGAGTTCCATCTTTTCACGATTGTCTTGCTTCATGGATGGGGTGCAAATACCAACAGTCAGGAATTCAAGGGTCTATGCACAGACAAAGAGACTGTCCTACACAATGTTTTAGTCCTTCTTGCTCTTCAAGAAGCGATGAATGCCTGATGGTCTAGACTTATAAGGGGAAAATTGTCAGACTTAACTCTGACAATTCTGTTGTATGGCTTGTGTTTCTCATCGAGGAGGTACTTAGTCCAGGGCTCCTTTCTAGAGATCATTCTTATCTTATCACCCTACTAGCTTGTCATGTTCCATGGGTGATGCCTGTGGTAGCAGTTCAATTGTTTCAATCCTCACAGATTCTCCTAACAGAATAGATGCTGCATCGCAATATTCTGTTGCATTGGCTCTAATATTGCAACTTTGATTGATGGGTTGGCCTCTCATTGATTCACCAAACTACTGCCAATTTGGACTACAGTTCCTCATCTTTAGGATTTAGCAATGGATGTATTCCATCAGGACAGAACAGGATTACAACTCAAGGCCTTCTATCCCCTTCATATATGATACAGGGTACTAAATATCATTTGTTCCAACCCATTGTTGGGTCCTGTTGATAGCACAGATTGGCTTTTACACCCTGGTTTTTGCTTCTGCAGTGCCCCCTAGTGGCACAGCGGTATGTACCCGGACTTACAATGCTAGAATCCGGATTTCGGTACCCGTGGTGGGCAGAGCACAGATAGCCCATTGTGTAGCTTTGTGCTTAATTACAAAACAAACAAGCTTCTGCAGTACCTTCTGGAGTGTCCACCTTTTCCACTTCTTTTTCAGCTATCTCTATGGAGGTAGCCATGATCTGCCTTGATACATCTGGCTATCCAGAAACTCAAGTTTCAGACATGGAGAATATGCAGTCTTTCACACAGCATTGGGGTTTAATTTATAATGTTGCCATAGATCTGTTTCAGTTTTTGCTTACTCAGAAATGAACATTTGTCAATGGAAATGACATGCATATTGGAAATGGTGTATTGAAAGGAGGTTAAACCTATTTTGGGCAGAAGTGCCAACCATAACTCGTTTTTTTTTTACATCTTCCACAGTCATCCTGTTTAAGGCAGCCTTATTGACTACTGTTCGTTTATCGTGACTACATAATTTGAGACCCCAGCACTCTCTGGATGGATTCCTCAAGTCACTTTCGATCCTTGGTCCCAAATGACCATTTCAGCTACCTAACAAGTATATTAAAAATTTAAAGTACAGGCTCTTTCTCAGCTCTTCTTATATGCCATATATCCCCTTTACCTGAAGGTTTCTTTTTCATGGTTGCTGACCTACAGAGATTATTGGTCGGAGTGATTTGTGCTGTTTGTCGACAGAGTATTTTCTCATTCTCTCTACATTCTCAGACCAGTTCTTCTTACCCAAGACACTGTCAGACAGAAAAGGGGTTAAAGTCCTTTTCACCTATTCATCTATTTCTCACTTCAAGGTCCAATCAGATTTCGATCATGGTAATGTTCAGTGAGGGTCTTGAAGGTCTTGTTGCTTGCTGTAATATCTTTAGAGATGCTAGGCAATGACTTTTCTTCTGCACTCTCATTGAAGATGAGGATTCTTTTGCGAGTTACATATATTCAGATTTGTCCCGTTTCTATGTCATTAGCAGCCCGGTCAAATTGCCCACTGGAGCTCATTGAGAGGACTGGTATATGGTCTCCCCCAATACTTTTATCTCACATTATATGCCTGATCTGGCAGTTTCTTCACCTGAGGGCTTTTGCCTACCCCCTTTATCTATCTTAACCATTTCAACTAGATTATACAGAGGGGGTGAGTCTTTTCATTGCTGCCTTTCAGGGTCTCTTAACTTGTTTTCATAGGATCCCTATCTGTGTCTAGTGTTGCCCATGCAAGTGTGCTTTTATTAAACAAATTTAGCACTAGCAACCACTAATTCAATATACTTTATACAGGTTGAAACAGGCTCTGTAGAAATGAGGTGTTCCATAAGACCACCTACGAGCTGACCAGGTGGTATTAGTGTACTATGCTGGACCGCCACTCATGGACTATCATTAGTAAAGCATAAGAGGATTCTGCCTGTCCCTGCCGATCAGTAGATTGAATAAAACAGGGTTGGTTTGCTTTCAAAAATTTAGGGAACTTGGTTCATCTATTGCACTGTTTCCAGAGCACTGTTCCTCAGGACTCCCCAATGCACATTACCCCCAGATTCTACTAGTGGAGCTAGGGAGTCCTTACCACACACAGTTTCCAATCACCAGGGTGGTAGACAAAGGCTCTTCCTCTAGATTGTTAGAGTGAATTTCTCCACTCTTGGAGAAGAGGACAAAGTTGAGGGCTCTCCTACCTTGGTCCCTGGATGTTTTTTCCAGATGTCAGTAGGAGTGGCACCAGCCTATGAGGGAGCCTTGTCGTAATACTGGTTCAGATTTGATGCTCTGATATCCAGTTGGGGTGTGCATGGCCCTTCTGTTTGATCAATATAGGTTCAGTATGTTGTTCATGGAAGAGGGTCCACTATCTCCTCATAAATCCAAAAGTGGAGTGTTCCCATCCTTGGTCCTTGGTTAAGCACAGTTGTTCCACGTCTTACCCATAATTCTGGGGGCAAGTGGAATGAGGATGAATGTTCATAATTCCAAACCAGATGAGTTGTGTTTCCTTTGGTTGAGTAAGGCATATACGGTCCCGTCATTCCAAGCTTGGGGTGCTGCCTTTCAGGCTTCTTCAGGTGGAGGAGAGAGTTTATCCACATTGGTGTTGCTTACTTTCTCATCATGATTCCAGTGGCTCAGAATGCATCACTCTATGGCTATAGGTTTGGATACAACGTTGTGGTCCAATTGCCCTTCCTATCCATGTAAGATATAGAGACCAAGACTTCTTAATTCCAACTCCAAGTACTGGAACCTTGGCTGTCTGGTTGGGGCTGGTCTATAATGTTGATCACTCATATAAAATTCCACCCACAAAACATGAATTAAGTTCAAGTTGAAGAACATACCTGTTCTGGGTGTAGTGTGGTTCCTCCACTAGGGTGCCAATCTTCTTTTAACACACCCATGATCTATGTAGATGCTTTCTATATGGATAATGCCCTCACTGGCCCCTCCACCTTCACAATGTGGGATTGTAGCTATAAATGGGAGAAGATGTAAGTATGTATGAAGATGTAATCAGAGCAATGCTTAGATGGGCAAAGGAAGACACCCTGGCAGTCAAGTAATAGCTATATGTATGAGAGGAGGTAAGTATTATTGGAAATACATTTTCAATTGTGGAAAATGTTAACGCTATGAGCATTCAGTGTATGACACGGTTTTATGAGTCGAAACAAAGAAACTGATAAAAACGAAGAATAAAACCTGTAGTAAAGAAAAGGGTAGCTAAAATGTGTTTATAGCAGTCATTGAAAGGAACTGAAGCTAATTTATTGCAAAGTAAAATTGTAATGAAGGCAAACTTAGCTGAATATGCAGAAATGTCTAATGCGTGTTCACAAAGTGATAAGCATATGGTTTGAACAAACTTGGCATGTGTATTTTAGACGTAAATAAGTATAGAAAGCCATAGCAAGTGTATTTAGTGTAATGCTGATTTTTTTTTTTAGGAAATTACACATTGGTTAAGTGTTGTTTGTGTGAAATACCTTGCAAATAAAAAAAGTTGAAATTGAAGTCAGTTATTACATGATTATAACGACATTGTGCCATCGTGCACCATACTCTTTGAATTAAAAAGTTTTGACTAAGCAAAAAACAGGAAAAGTGATTCTGAATGGAAAAGCCGGTATGCAATCCAGATTCCTCTGACAATGGCCTTTCTAACACAATAAGATTTGTAGCATTTGATCAGGAAATTCGTAAGCAAGGTTTCGACAGACAAAAACAAGCATATTATTCATACAGATTGCTGTATATATGGATTTTGTCTGTTTGATTTTATGTGAAATAATATACATTTTTGTTGATGTGTGTAATATGATGGTGTTTGAAGCTTCAATGAGCAGTTCATGAGACATCTGTGTTTTATTTTTATTATGTAAGTGACATCTTGATGATTGTTAACTTCATGCTAGGTGCACTGTATCATCATGGCCATCTTTCTAGAGCTGTGTGCTGCCGTCTGGAAGGAAAGACTGAGTTTGGGCACTTTTTACCAGCTGGCTACACACTAAACCACCCACAGCTAGGACGTGTATCCATTTATAAAGCTCCTCGTGAAACTGAGAAAACAAAACCTTTTGGAATCAACTGGTGTTGTGGAGATAGCAAACCAGAAGTTACTAATGCATTAACAGGAATGTGTAATGACAAGTAAGGCTAATCCTACAATACTTTTCATATATATATAATATGATTGAGCGATATAAGCTAGTCATACGCAAGGGGTTGTATGGGAAAAATTAAATGAAGTGCAGAATTTTGGAGTTTAATGATATATATTTATTTACTGATGTACTTACGATTATATTACAATTATTCCATTTCCATTTTTTGCCGATAGTATCAATTTCTGATAATTGTGTCTAATTATTGATTGATACTAATAACATGAAACAATTTAATATTTTCAATATATATTAATTAATTTTCCATGCTGGCAAAAATATATTCACTGCCAGTAACATGAAAAATTTTATTATTTTCAAAATTAGGTAATTGATTTTCCACACCAGCACAACTTTAGTCACTGCCAGCAGCATGAAATTATTGATTATTATTTATCTAATAAAAACCTTCCATACTTGAAAGGAATGCATTTTGAATCAGATTATTAAAGACTAAGGAATTAATGTTAATTAAAATACTTTTTATAAATACTTAAAATTAGAAATAAATACTAAAATAGTTTGTATTAGTAATGCTGTATCAGAACTGTGCAGTTAATGATATCTGTGGTAGTCAGAATCACTAGTATTGGTACTTGCCAATAATGGTATCTGTAGTAGTCAGAATAACTAATATCGGTACTTGCCAATAATGGTACCATGACTCCACAGTTGGTATCTGTGATACTCAGAATAACCAGTACCAGTACTTGCCAATAATGGTCTCATGACTGTGCAGTTAATGGTATCTGTGGTAGTCAGAATATCCAATACCAGTACTTGCCAGTAATGGTATCAAAACTCTACAGTTAATGGTATGTGTAGTACTCAGAATCACCAGTACTGGAACTTGCCAGCAGTGGTATCAGAATTCTACAGTTTATGGTATCTGTGATAGTCATAATAACTAATACTGATACTTGCCAATAATGTCACCATTGGTGACAATACCAATATAATAGTAATTAGTGCATCTCAGATGTATGGGAACCATATTTTATTTTATTTTATATTTAACAATAAGGAAAAAGTTATTTTGTGTTTTTAAAGATATAAGTTTAAATTAAGTAATTTTATGCTGTACACTTTTGGAGATTTTTTATTAGATTTTGAATATATATTTCTGTCAGGGATTTAAATATGAGTGGGCTGAGGATTCTTCCGCAGTAGGTATCTGTGACTTGTTGGCAATAAACAGACAGCACACAATCCACATATTTTAAAATAATATTTTTAAAACAAGTCAACTGTATGTACAAAAATGCTTTACACTATAGGATATCACAGTTTTATCTAAAACTCTAAATAATTATCTTGTCAAAAAGCCACATAGGCTGATTCAATTACTTTAGAATCCAATTAACAAGATGAATTATTTTTCTCTACTCTTATCACAATAGTATTGGTAAATAATTCACTTACGTTACCATGTGGGTTACCACAGTTGTATCCTGAATCTTAAATAATTGTCTTCTTTTCATCAAAGTCCACACAGGTGGGTACAATTACTTTAGAACACCCTTTGACATGACAAATTATTCCCCTTACCTCTGTTTACTGTGGTAAACCACGGGATAATGTAAGTAAATTATTTACTGATACTATTGTGATAAGAGTAGAGAAAAATAATTTGTCTTGTCATTTGGTTTTAAAGTAATTGAATCAGCCTATATGGACTTTTGACAAGAAAGGAGAATTATTTAGGTTTAGATAAAACTGTGATATCCTATAGTGTAAAGAATTTTTTGACATATGTTTGACTTGTTTCAACAAGTATATGCAGGAATGACATCAGAAGATGTCATGGACTATGACATATAAAAAGTGACTTTGCTGAAATTATATGAACTTACTGAAGAAGGATTTCACCAGAAATTCAGAGAAGTCAAACCTAACACTGGAGAAAACTGTATTTCCATTTGCAGCACATCTATGGTGATACTTTACCAGCTGGACTAAGTTGGCCAAGTATGACAACAGTTTTGAGGGACTGGCAGACCTACTAATACATGAACAGTTCATGAGTATGTGCTCAACTGCCTTGTCACCAAAATACATGAACAAGATGGTTAAGCTGGGAGAACAGTGTATAGAAGCCCATGGAGGGAGTATAACTGGCAAGTCCAAGGATATCTATTTAAAATCAAAAGCAGTGGTGGCTTACCAGATGCAGGAGTCCACCAAAAGTGACAGGAGATTAACAGACGAAAAAGGGAGAAGAGATTCTGTATTTGTTATAAAACAGAGCACATTGCAAAGGAATGAAAGTCCATTACCAACAAGTAACAGCAGAAATCTCAACATAAAGAAGCTGGAGCTACTTATGAAGATAATGCTGGTAAGAAACAAAAATGGATGCTACTGCCAGAAGAAACAGAATCAAGAAAACACCTCAGATTCACCACAAGAAGGAAGTACCATTTCTATGATTGATCGGTGTATGGACTAATAGTCAGCTGAAGTTAGCAAATGGATCAACAATGTCAGTTGTGATTGGAGCATGTTACAGATATCGAGAGGTTCCAACAAATTACAATATTGCAGTAGGTGAAGGATATGTCGGGGACAAGAAAATGACTGTCCTCTGAAACAATGGTTGCAGCAGCGAGAACTAGTTTAGTATCTGATAGCCAGATGACAGGCAAGGTGTGCCTGTGTGTGCTAATTGATGGGACAGTGAGAAAGTTTCCCATAGCAAAAAAAAAGATATATACTCCATATTATGTAGAAGACCTTGAAGCCTTGTGTATCAAGTCACCAATATACGACTTGGTGATTGGAAACATACTAGGTAGTAGAAATTTGGAGGAACTAGACAGAAAGAAGATGGATGAAGCATCTGCAATCACCACTAGAGCTCAAGGGAAGAAGAGCAAGCAATATATAAAGACCTTTAAAGTATCCAAGAGGAAGTCTAGCACAAAACAAAGAGGAAAGAGACTTAAAAAAACAGAGGACTAGAAAGAAGTATTGTACCAGACCTATCGAAGCAGCTGGTGAAGCTAAATACATCAAAGGCAGTAAGAAGTACTTATATAACAAGAAGGTCAAGGATTGACATTTTGAGGTCAGACAGAAAGCCTTAATTCTGCTGCCCACAGCCAACAACAAATTCAACCAGCAGTGGAAAGGACCTTTTGCAGTACAAAATGTGGTCAACTGAATGCATTATAAGGTGTGTGTGGATGGGATAATCAAGGTCTACTATGCCAATCTGTTGAAGAGGTACTTTTAGAGGGAAGACAATTAGAACAGGAAACAATTATTTAAAGTTCAATATACAACTGTGGTAACCCACTGAGTAATGTAAGTGAATTGACTGCAGATTGTAAAGTAAGAAACAAAGTAGAGAAAAATAGTTTGTCTTGTCAATTTGATTCTAAAGTTATTGAATCAGCCTGAGTGGACTTTTGACAAGAAAATAGAATTATTTAGAGTTTTAGATACAACTGCAATATCCTATAGTGTAAAGAAGTTTTGTATTGGATTCTGTGATGTCCATTTATTGTTGACATTTCTTGCCAACAAAATACAGACATCTACTATAGAAAAACCCAGCCCACATATACATAAAAACCTGACAATTTCTTACTGATTTTTGTAAAAATCAATTAGTTTTTGTAAATTAAATAAACTGATATGGTTCTGTTTATATCCATGGGTTTTTATTTTCTAAAAACACACACACAGTGTTTTGTGTGTTGTTTAATAATAAAAAAATGTTTTTATGATCTCATCCAACAGGTTTTAGGCAGTGAAGTGATCAATATAATTATATTAAAACTTGATTATATTGTATAATAATAACTCTTAGATATGAATTAAAGATTACTTATGGCTGTGTAAAATAACATATCTAAATATAAATTGCTTTAAAAAATTAATAAGAGTTTGGGAAATTGTAGTTACAAAAGTGGATAAATATTGATTAAAGAATCCTGATGACTGGACTTCTTTAAAAAGGTAGTCCTCCCTTCCTTTAAAGAAGGAGACTATTAGGTTTTAAGAACCCATGAGTGGAAGCAAAGGAAAATATGTTATAATATGCCAACTACACTACATCTGCCACACTCAGTGCCAATAAGGCCTTTTGCCCAATACAAAAACTCACCAGGGCAGCAGGGATACAACAGACATAGTATTGGTCCAGGCACTATTTATCAGTTTTTATGAGCAACAACTGTTATGGGGTGAACCATGTTAAGCGAGTAAATTGTAATTATTATCAATTTTGTTTTAAGCCATTTACAAATCAGACTTTTAGGGTAAGAATTAAAAACACAAAATTATTTTTTTATAATTTCTAACTGATTATTTCTTTTTATTTTACTCCTACAGAAATAAAAGTGGAAGAAGATTATTGCTTGTTTTTCAGGTGATTGTGACATTGTGTTGACTTAAGCAAACTGGTTAATAACGATGATTGCGTTTACTCTTACAGGGCTGAAAGTTACCAACAATCAAGACTGTGTAAAGCCAGTTTGTTTGAATGTTTCAAAAAATTGTGTAACTTGAGTAAGAGGGAGGAGCTTCTAAAGCAGAGCTATCGAACTAGCAAACTAAATGCATATGACTACCAGCAGGCTAAACAGAGGCTCTATGCAAGGTTTGAAGAGTTGGGAAGGGGTACCTGGCTGAAGAAACCCCTGGAAGAAGAAGAGTTCTTCTGAAAAATTGCAAAAGGAGCATTGCTTTGTATTTCATGAAGAAAAGTGAATTTAGAATCAAACAATAGAAACTTCAATTAGAAAAGTAGTTAAGAATTGATATTAGTATAGTTTGCATTGACTTAACTCACAGTGGTTAATAACAGAATACACGATATAGTTAATGTTAACTATTTGTATAATTCTAGTCGAATATTAATACTGAAAATATATTATAGACAATATTTAATTGATACTTATTAATTAAACTTCAACATTTTAAACCAATTTTCTTGAAAGGAGAATTCAAATTTTTTTTTATAATCTTTAAAAAAATATTGATGTTACGAAAAATGAAACTGTACATTCATTGTTTTCAATATGTTTTATATGTGGATATCAGTGTATATATATATATAGTTGGACCTTATCTGTCTTAACACTTTCGAGTACATGCTGAAGGATTTAAAATAATGTAAAAACTTACTTAAACAGTTTTACAATATTAGTCAAATAACAAATGTTTATTTTTACAAGGACTGAACTTTTTTAATTATTAAGAGTTAGAATATAGATCAAAAAGATTGGTTTTTGAAGAAATAAAATCTTTACTAAAACATTTTTTTTATAGTGAATGAAAAATAAGACTTTAAACATAGGTAGGTAGGCTGTATGTTGCTAAGGGTGGAACAGTGGTTGAACAATTTCTAATATGAGCAAGAATAATTTTTTTATTAAATTGCTGCAAATATGTAAAACGTTTGGATTTTGAATTCCTTTTTGTTTATTTGTTTTTAACCTTCAAAAAATAGTTAGTTTATTGATTCCATTTGGGATAGAAATACAGTGATAAAAGTACGTGGTTTTTGAATGTTTGTTCTGTTTAGAACAGTAAACATGTAATTGTGCATATTTTTTCCATATCTTTAATGCTTTGTTTCATGTAAGATATGTTGATGTCAATCATTTTCCCTAAATTGATAAGCTACAAACAAGCTTGTCTTGGTGTTTGCAAGAAAAGGCCAAAACATCAAAAAAACAGTTGTAGATATTTTTATAGTGCTTTTTGTTGTTGTTGAGATATAAGAATAATTTAGAACTGGATGTTTCTGTAGCGTTTTATTGTATTTTTTGTTTAATACAAGTTAGATAGCCATTTTGTATTCAGATTCTTTTTTCATTTTTCAGTAAATGTTATTTACCACCTACTTTTGTTTGTCTTTGAAACAAAAAGTATAAAAAATGAGAACTGTTGAACTGAATTTCTGTCAAACATGTTTTAGTGGAAATGAATGAATGATAATACAACAAATTACAAAAGCATGAAGTACTGTAATTTTGGATACTATGAATGTGTAATCATTTTCAAACCAACATTCTGTAAGTCTGTTGGGTTTTGTTATGTCCAGGTTTGACAGATTGTCTTTCATGATTGGTTGTTTTCTTTTATACATTTAAGTTGTTACAAAGGTAAGAGAGATTATTACTTGCTCTGATTGAGTGAAGAAAACTAATATTGTAGTTTATTTTTAAAATAAATACCTTCTTAACATTTCATGTAAGAGAACTTTTAGTCACTCAAGTTAAATTAGTCAGTGGTATTTTTTTGAGTTTGTTATTATTATTATAGCTATGAAACTACAGTGATTTTTGTAATGTTTGTATGTTACATTGAAACTTTGACGTGATTTTAAAAATACGTGATTACGAAGTTTGTTTCACAACTATTTTGAAAGAACCAAATATGAGATTTATCAGTTTTAATTCTTGTATTTTAGGTGAAGTTATAAAGCAGATCAGTTTGGATCTTAACTTTCATACTAAGTGTTCACTGTTTTTTGTTAAATTATTCTCTTGGCCAACTTAGCTAAGTAGTATGATGAAGAAACGACCAAAAACAAGATTATAGTATCACTTTTTACAGCAACAGTCCAATGAATTTCACTTATTGTTGTTTGAAATTGTTATAGTTTTATATTATTGTATTATACGAATATAAAAAAAAATATCTGCGTGGCCTGATTCCATATTCTCCATTAGACTTTCAAACAAATTTACATGTGTGTTACTTGTTGTGAGAATAGCACTGTGAGTAGAAGGTCGCTCCTGAAGAACTTGCAGAAACAAAACTTTGAGCGAAATAATGAAAAACCCTATTCTGGAGTTCATGATCGTTTCTTCATCGTATTACGTTTTTAAATGTATACTATGATATTATTGCTGTATTAAAAGTACTTCTACATATGTTATATGATTCACACATATTTTCCGCCACATAACGTCATAGTTCTTTATCCGTGCCTTTTTTTCTCGCGTGTAGTATCGATGGGTATGAATTATACATGTTACAAAACACATTTTTCTAAACTAGTAATACAGCAAATTGTTTTTGGGTCCTTGGCCGTTGGTTACAGGGTTTCTAATATAATCACACCGACAATATTGTGACTAATCCCACTAATTATTACTTGGATTACATATTTATTTTACATGAAAATTAGTGATTCTGCCCAAAAGTTTGGTCATTTGTTTGTGTGAAGAAATATTTAGATCTCGCATGTGAAGAAGTTGGTAAATTAATGGTTAAAACAGTGGGCTTAACAATGTTTTTCCAGCTTGAGCCTGTTCAACCACCTTTAAAAAGTTACTGTTTCTACCAGAAAACCTACTCGTCAGTAAATGTAACACGAACCTTACAATGCTTCACACAAATAACTGAAAATGATAATGCTGAGAGCACAGTTGTTAGCGCGTGAAACTGTCTCTTTTCCAATAAATCTCTGCATACTTACGTTTCTAAAGTTTACCAAGTACAAAATAAGTGACAAAGGCTCATTTTATTTATCTGTTCTAAAACAAAGTAAATACAAATTTGTAATCATATTTCAGAATATAAACTCAATTTTTTTAAAATCGATCCATGTTCAAACTAACTAAAAACACCATAAATTAAACTCTTGAACCAGAGCGTGTAAGAACCTAGAACTTAAAAAATAATAATGAAATAAATTACTAAGCGATGTTACGGTTTCAGTAGAATGGGCCTGTTATGTATAACATTGTTTTTTCACTATTAGAAACAGGAAAGCGTTTTTCCAACAATACAAAAAAAAAAAAATGTTGCTTAATCAGACAACCAAAAGAAAGTTGTTTTTTTTCTATCATACTTTTGGTTATAAAAGGAATGTCTTCTTATTATGCCCCCCAGTGGCACTGCGGACTTACAACGCTAGAAACCGGGTTTCGATACTCGTGGTGGGCAGAGCTTTGTGCTTAATTTCAAACAAACTTATTATTGTTACGTCTCCGTGTGTTAATTAATTTTCCGTAACTTCGTTCCGACGAAACTTAAGCGACACAAGTT